AAAACGCGACATTAATTTATTGACGACCTAATAATTACAATTGAAATGTCGGTATTCATCCACTCAAGTTTCTAGCGGAAGTACGTCAGAGTATTGCGGAAATTACGCAACTAGTATTATTTGATCGTGATCTCTACACTCAAAACAAACGACTTGACTCGTGTTCTTTATCAATCTTATCTTTCGGTTTTCGAAATAAACAGTATAATATGCCTTATAATAAATGATTTAATCAACAATCAATTTAGATAAACCACTTTAATACGGGATACATTTAAACACGTTAATTAATCACTTACCGTTGCCATGATACATGCACGTAACAATCAAAACAGACAATTTAATAATACGATACATCCACAAACGCTAATTGTTCACTTACAGTTGCCATGATACATGCACTTAACGATCAATACAGACAGTTTAATAATGAGATACTCCACAAACACTAATTGGTCATATATCATTGCAATGATACATGCACTTAACGACCAAGACAGATAGTTTAATAATGGGATACTCCACAAACACTAATTTTTCACTTACCGTTGCTATGATACATGCACTTAACAACCAAGACAGACAGTTTAATAATGGGATACTCCACAAACGCTAATTGATCATTTGCCGTTGCTATGATACATGCATTTAACGACCAATACAGACAGTTTAATAATGGGATACTCCACAAACACTAATTGTTCATTTGCCGTTGCTATGATACATGCACTTAACGACCAAGACAGACAGTTTAATATTGGGATACTCTACAAACGCTAATTGATCATTTGCCGTTGCTATGATACATGCACTTAACGACCAATACAGACAGTTTAATAATGGGATACTCCACAAACACTAATTGTTCATTTGCCGTTGCTATGATACATGCACTTAACGACCAAGACAGACAGTTTAATAATGGGATACTCCACAAACGCTAATTGATCATTTGCCGTTGCTATGATACATGCATAAGTGTATAAGTATAGGAAATCAAACGATTTAACATATATTTGTGTAAACGTAAAGACATCAGTACAGATATTCTCATTATCCAAAAAAAAAGAAGAAAACAGAACATTTTGCAAATTTCTGGTATTACTGTGTATATCCAACCTAGAACATCAAGACCGAAAACAGTGGTATTCTCGTGCCATCTGTTGAATAGAATATTGTAGCGTTTGTTACCTATAGCCCAAAGGGACCGAATTTTTCGAATCAGGTTCAGAGGCAAGTGGTGTTTTGTCACCCAGTCTGAAAGACAATAGTTAAAGTATACTACCATGTAACACAATAATGTATAGCACCATATAACACAATAATGTATACCACCATGTAACACAATAATGTATACCACCATGTAATAAAATAATGTATACCACCATGTAACAAAATAGTGTATACCACCATGTAACACAATAATGTATAGCACCATATAATAAAATAATGTATACCACCATGTAACAAAATAGTGTATACCACCATGTAACACAATAATGTATAGCACCATATAACACAATAATGTATACCACTATGTAACAAAATAATGTATACCACCATGTAACAAAATAATGTATACCACCATGTAACAAAATAGTTAACGTATACTACCATGTAACACAATAATGTATACCACTATGTAACAAAATAATGTATACCACCATGTAACAAAATAATGTATACCACCATGTAACAAAATAGTTAACGTATACTACCATGTAACACAATAATGTATACCACCATGTAACAAAATAGTTAACGTACACCACCATGTAACACAATAATGTATACCACCATGTAACAAAATAGTTAAAGTATACCACAACGTAATATAATAATTAAAGTATACCACAACGTAACACGATAGTTAAAGTATACCAAGATGTAACACGATAATGTATACCACCACGTAACACAATAGTTAAAGTATACCACAACGTAACACGATAGCTAAAGTATACCACCATGTAACATAATAGTGTGTTACGTTGTGGTATACTTTAACTATTATATTACGTTGTGGTATACTTTAACTATTGTGTTACGTGGTGGTATACATTATCGTGTTACATGGTGGTATACTTTCACTATTATGTTACATGGTGGTATACTTTAGCTATCGTGTTACGTTGTGGTATACTTTATTATATTACGTTGTGGTATACTTTAACTATTATATTACGTTGTGGTATACTTTAACTATTGTGTTACGTGGTGGTATACATTATCGTGTTACATGGTGGTATACTTTCCGATAGTTAAAGTATACCACCATGTAACAGAACAGTTAAAATATACCACAACGTAATACAATAGTTAAAGTATACCACCACGTAACACAATAGTTAAAGTATTCCACCACCTAACACAATAGTTAAAGTATACCACCATGTAACATAATAGTTAAAGTATACCACCATGTAATAGAACAGTTAAAGTATACCACCATGTAACACAATAGTTAAAGTATACCACCATGTAACAGAACAGTTAAAGTATACTACAACGTAACACAATAGTTAAAGTATACCACCACGTAACACAATAGTTAAAATATACCAACATGTAACATAATAGTTAAAGTATACCCCCACGTAACACGGGTATACGCGCCCACTACGCTTGGTACTGCTGGTGCACAAAAATATAGCTAATAAAAAGGGGGGGGAAGGGTCTCATGGATAAATTTACTCTAATCTTACCTAAAAGAATTTCAAATGCCGCGGCTATTG